AAGACAGGGGTCTCACTAAGTTGCCTAGGCTGGCCTCAAACTTACAATACTCCTGCCTCAGCTTCCTGAGTCACTGGAATTACAGGTGTGTGCCACTGGGTTGAGCTCACTTATGTCTTAAAAGACAGAGCAATAAAAGGCTCTATAACTGGTCCAGTTCTGACACTGGGGTTTCTCAACTACCCAGAAGACTGTAAGAGATTGTTATGGTTTAGATAAATGTTCCCCAAAAGCCCACGTGTTGAAGCCTTGGTCCCCAGTGTACCATTTTAGGAGGTCCAGCCTCTGGGAAGTAATTGAATCATGAGGGCTTTAACCTCATCAATGAATTAATCTATTATGGATTTATTGCTTAAATGGCTATTGGAAGGTGATAAGAACTTTAGAAGATGAGGCCTAGTTGCAGGAAGTTGGTCACTGGGAGCATGATCCTTGAAGGATATATCTTTTCCACTGACCTTTCCTTCCTCCTCCCACTCCTGTCCTCCACCCCAAACTCCTGTCTCCTTCCTAGCCACCACAAGTTGAGTAGCTTTGCTCTACCACCTGCTCTCTGCCTGGATCTTCTGCCTTACTACAAGCCCAGAAACAACAGAGCCACATGATCATAGACTGAAACCTCTGAAACTGAGCCAAAATAAATCTTTCCTTCCTTTAGTTGATTTTCTCAGGTATTTTGTCACAACAATGGAAAACTGACTAACACAGTGTCAGTGGTACTGGAGGCTGTGGTAAATCTAAAAAGTCAATCAAGGGCTTGGGAACCAAACTTAAGCCTATAGGGCAAAGAATTAGCCATCTTTTTGTGAAACTGCTCTTGAGCTATAAAACAGTCAGCTCTATGTTACTACAGTGAAATTTTCAAGACAATGAACTTAGTGAAGAGAAATGGTTTATTTAGCTCACAGTTTGGGAGTTTTGAGTCTAATATCAGAATGCCCTTATGGGTTTGAGCCTCTGGTGAGGGCACTAGATGGCAAAACAGACACTTCTATTGAAACAAGAAGTCACATCTCCAGCCAGGAAGTCAAGTGAAACTGAGACTGGAGTCCCACAGGCCCTTCAAGACCACGCCTCAAATGACACAGGGACCGCACACCAGGTCCTTCTTCTTTAAAGATCCACAGCACCTCCCAATACCATAAAGCTAGAATGAAGCCTTTACATAGGGACCTTTGGAGGATGCTCATCCAAATCACAGAAGGCCTAATGTGGGCAACCGTATATTCTGAACACTTGAACACCAGATAACAGATGACCATGCACAATTGCACCAGCCTAAAATTATGTGTCCCCAAGAGCACTTCATCAGTAATGGGAAGTGGCAAATTTATGGGGGCCCAAGCTTGTAGAGAAGACAAAAGAATATTGCATCTACTTCATTCCCCAGCAACCACCCCCCATTCGTTCTTAATGGGTCTATAAATAAAATGGTCATAATAGCAAGAAAGGAGGTCATGCAGCTGGGATTGGTGGCATCTACCAGTAATCCCAGCAACTTGGGAGGCTGAGGCAGGAGAATCACAAATTCGAGGCCAGCATGGGCAACATAGTGAGCTCCTATCTCAAAATAAAATTTTAAAAGGGGATAGGGATGTAGCTCAGTGCTAGAGTACTTGCCTAGAATGTGTGAGGTCCTAGATTCAATCCCCAGCTTGACCAAAAAAAAAAAAAAAGGAAGCCATGCATGAACTCAACAACAAGGGCTTCCTCCACCAAGATAATCCAGCTAAGAATCCACCTTGGAATTCTCCTTGGTTTGGAGGCTAAGAGCTTTGTGGGAAGCAAAGCTCCACCCACTTCTATAAAAGCAGAGAGAGCAAAATTACTGTCTTCCCTAAACCATGACAGCCAGGGCAGGCCTGTGACCCTAGCCAGTCCTAGGGGATGCTTCTACCTCAGACTTTGAATCAGGTGCAAGTGATGCAAAGAAGTATAGGAAAGTTTACAACTCACGATGATGGTGACAGTGGTGGGTTCCAGGACCCCGAAACACTAGCACCACAACGGTGCCAGGGAAATTTCCAGTAACCAGTGTGGGCAGTGCCAGCAGCATCCTATCTAGACCATTCCTATGGTATAACCTTAGCTGGCCTCTCAGCTTCTCTAGGTTCCCAACCATTTTCTAAGCCTGGTTCTCTAGAATCTCTTTCAAGGCCATAAGCTACCAGAGTCCATTTTTCTCCAGAATTGCTTATTTCCTCCTTGCTTCTCTCTAGTGGCCCCTAGGAAATGGCCCACTTGATCCCTTTTCAATTTTCCCCCTCATAACTTGCACTAGGATTTTCTCTTTTCCAAATCCCTTCTCCTCTAAATCTCATACACAGCTCTTCCTTTCCTCTCTTCAACATGACACATGTTAGACTTTCCAGCAATGTTAGGGAGATTTTTTAATAGGGAAAATCCAGAATTGTTATGACATCTAAAAACTTTGATGAAGTTCATGTGAATAGAAATGATATCGTAGAAAAGCCATAGAAAAGCCATCGTAGCAGAAACTGAAACAGATTAGTTCACTCTGATATTTCACTTTGCTAAGCAGTTTTATTAAAGCTATTTGTTTACCTTTTTTACAAATATATATTGATCATCTGCTATCTTCGAGACACTAATTCTAAGTACCAGGAATATACAAAGTGAACAAGATAGGCAACATCCCTACCCTTATGGGACACTGCATTTTAGTGAAGTCATAAGTAAATAAAGAAGGAAATTTCAGGTAATGCAAAGAAATTATGTGGTAAAGGGGGAGAGGGGACAGCTGCATTTAATCCTCACAACAATCATGTGGAACGCAGGAACTATTATAATCCTGATTTTAGATAAGGAAGGCCACTGTTCACACGGGTACCAAGAATGGAATTCTGATCATGCACAGAATTCACATCAAAGGAAACCATTCCTTCCTCCTAAATAGAGTTCATCAGAGATTTCTACTTAGATCCTCACCTCTAACTGCATGCAGTTCCAGTCCCGCTTAAACAGAACCTGGCTATGGGGCTCTCATGTTTGAAATTAAATATACAGGACACCTGGTTAAATTTGGATTTTGGATAAATGATTTTTTTTAAGTGTAAACATGTCCAAAATATTTTCCCCAGAAAGATAAAACAATCTGATCCTTCAAGCTAAATATTTCAAGAGACATACTAACAACTTATTTGTTGGTTACCTGAAATTTGAATTTAATCGGGTGCCCTGTATTTTAACTGAGCACCTTAAAAATAAGGACTTGAGCCTCTCGAGCTGATGGTCGCCATGCTGAGGAGAGCAGGAAGGTTCTCAGAGCCAAATGAGTCCAGCTTCACCATATCCTTCTTCTTCTGCCTCCACTCTCAGCTCAGAACAAAGGAGAAAAAGGGCAACATCTCTCTCCTCGTTTTGTTCAGACACCAAATCTTTCATAAGCACTCCCTTGGGCCTAATTCTGATGCCTTATGATGTCATATTACCCTGTGCTCAATAAACTGAGGAAAAGCCAGTCCATAGCTTTCTCAGTGGATTCTTTCTGCCCTCTAAGAATATTAAATACCAACCTGTACCTTCACCCATCCTCCTCTTTTCTGGGCTATCTAGTCCCAACTCATTTCTGACTCTTAGTCCATTTCCCTGCCCTGAAAATTGTGGGGAAAGCCACTTGATTGAACCATAAAACAATAAAAATTCTTGTAGAGGGTAATTTGGCAGAATGTTTCAGAAACAATTTGGTTCAGCATTTCCATTTCTAGAATTCTGTGTTAATGAAAGCATAAAATAAATATACAAAGATATAAGTATAATCATATCTATTTCAACAATATTTACAACAAAAAATCCCTTAATCCAATGATAGGAAATTACTTAAAATTATAGTACATCCATATAAGTATTTTAGATATTAAAAGCATGTTTTAAAAGTCTCCTGATATTGTACAATGTTAAAATATAGTTTAATAAAGTAGAAAATTTATTACAAAGCAATTTAGACAATATAATCCCTTTTTTAGTTTTCAGACATACGCATATATACATATACAGACTAAAACAGGCTGCAGTAATTTCCCAAGGACATTATTACTAACAAAAATGTCAATATTTATTTTCTTTTCTTCTGAATGCAAGATTCTCTGCAATTAACAGTGCTATTTTTGTAAACTGGGAAAGGAAAAAAATCAATGCTATTTAAAGGTTCTGTGCCTTGAGTGATTTCCCCCACTGTGCGGCTCCCTTCTGTGGCTTCTAAGTGAAGGAGAATTTGCAAACAAGCAAGAACTAGCTTCCCAAGAAAAAGTAAAGTGGTTGCGGATCCCTCTGGCCAGAAAAATTAAGTGGACTCCAAGTAGAAATATTGCTGGAAATGAAAGTGTCATTTTGGTAGTGTAAGGTCTAAGTCAGACCTTCTGATCAGAGCCAGGGAAAAGAGATGGATGTGCATTTCCACCGTGGGAAAAGAGGGAGAAATGAGGAGCAAGTCTGTCAAGGGGCTGGGCAAAGAGGTTCAGCAGAGAACACCAACATTCAGGAAACCCCAGAAAGGAGTCTTCAGTCAGGAGCAAACTAACTGGACTAGTGCCGCCAGACCAAAGCAGCACCAAGACTTGTCTCCTGAACTTCCAAATTCAAACCAACTACTCCCTGCCCCTGTTCCTTCCCTGGCACCACAGACACCCAGGCTGGTCATCGCACTGGAGTAAAGGAGCTTTGGTTGCAGCAGAGGTGCCTGATGCCAGAGAGAAAGGCTGGCAATGAGGAGTCTCTGGGAGAAATAGAAGAGGAACAGCTTAAGGGTGAGTTTGCCCAGCTCTGAGCCTACAGTCAAGTCAGGTCAAGGCCATAGGAACAGGCCCCAGAAGCAGAGCTGCGAGCAACACATTGGTGCCTTGGGCCCTCATGCTGAGTGGAGCAAGGAAACCCACACTCACAGACCCTGTGCACCTCAGGTCCCGGCTTCTCCCTCCTCCTCAAAAACAGGCCAGAGATCAAGCCCTTGCCTCCAGGAATTCGGGAGGCAGGAAGCAGCATCAAGGGCTCCAAAGGTATCTCTTCATGAACCGCCTCATGGCTCCTGTGACCTCCTTGTTCCTCAGAGTGTAGATAAAAGGGTTTAACATGGGGGTGACAACTGTGTAGAAGACAGCAAGGATCTGGTCCATGTCCCGAAAGGAACCTGCCTGAGGTGTCATATAGGCAACAGTCCCAGTCCCAAAAAAGAGCATGACCACAAACAGATGGGAAGAACATGTAGAGAAGACTTTTCGACGGCCCTGGGATGTCGCAATCCCAAGAATAGTGGCAAGAATACAGGCATAGGAGATCACAATCAGTGAAAAGGGGGTCAGAATAAAGGCCACCGTGACAGCAAGGTTCCCCACTTCACCCCAGAAGGGGCTCCCACTAGCCAGTCTCAACACAGGCAGGATGTCACACAGGAAGTGATGGACGGTGTTGGCACCATGGAAGGGCAAGGTGAAGATGAAGATGGAGTGAGTGGTGCCAGTGATGACACCCATGAGGTAGGAGGCCCCCACCATGCCCACACACGCTGCCTGGTTCAACAGGGTGGGATAGTGCAGCGGTCGGCAGATGGCGGCATACCGGTCATAGGCCATGGCAGTGGACAAGCAGCATTCCATGATGCCAAAGAGGGCAAAGAAATACAGCTGGGTGAAGCAGCTGGCACGTGGGATGGTCGGGCAGGAGGAGAGGAGATCAGCCAGCATCCTAGGCACAATGGTGGTGGTATATAGGACCTCCACCAGGGAGAAGTGGCGAAGGAAGAAGTACATGGGGGAATGCAGAGCAGAGTCTGCCAGTGTAAGGAAGATGATCAGGGAGTTGCCCAGCAAGGTGACCAAGTAAATGCAGAGCACCCCCCAAAACAGAGAGCCCCCAGAAAGAGCCAAAATCTGAGAACCCAATCAAAACAAACTCAGTTACTGCTGAGCCATTGCCACTCTCCATGTCCCCAAAGCCAGACTGGAAAAAGGAAAATAAAGAGGGCTCATGCAGCAGCAGGAGGTAGCCAGGCAAAGACAAGGGCTGCAGCAGAGAAGATGTGGGAAAGTCCCTAAGAACATCCCAGCTCTCCAGATGGATGGGTGAGCCCCCGGCTGCTTTGACTCCTTCCCAGAAAAAATGCCTCAGAGCAGAAGGAAGAAAAACCAGAGGAGTTAAAGGGAAGATTGCAGACCGCCTTGGATGCTGAGGGTTTGACAAACACCAAGGTGGTTTATTCCACTTGCCCAGGTACTGGGTTTAGGAGCAAAGAGCTTAAGAAACTGATTGAGACTACGGGCAGAAAAGTGGGTGAGCAAACAGAATAAACAAAGCTGGCAGAAAGAGACTGAGGCAGAGAGTTAAGTGAATCCGACAACAAAGTGAGAGTGAAAGAGAGAAGACACAGGTCTGAAGGCCAAAGCACGGGAGCCTGTGCAGCTTTTACCCGTAGAGGGGTCCCCACGGCCCTCAGAATGTGCCTCCTGGCAGCACATCATGCAGCTCAATCCTCCCAAGAGCCTGGATCCCAGAGCAGAGGGTGGAGAGGAAAGTAGATGGGGGAAATAAAAAAGGAGGGAGGAAGTGGCTTCCTTCTGCCACATCACAGTGCTAAGCTGCCTGCAGTCAGGTCAGGGTGTGGAGCATCCTCCTAAGGACAACTGAGATCCATGTAGAAGGGCTGACATGTATCCACAGTCCCTCAGCAAGGCCTAAATAAAGCTGGGCTCAGATGCCCAGTGTTCTAACTCCTTGGTCAGTTTCTGTAGGCTGCCTGCTCAGTCCACTATTTCCAGAGCTGTCCTCTGCCCAGCCCATTGGAGTTAGTCCTTAGCCTCCTTTCCACTGTCTGGAAAGTAATTTTTTAAAAAACTTTTTGGAAAATAGTGCTATTCCTCAAAGAAAAGAACTGTTGAAATAGCAACTCCCAACCCATCCCAGGATTTGTATCCACTCCCCAGCTGCTGAAAGAGGCTGCAGTGTTCTCTAAACTTCTAAAACAGGAAAGTCTCTCTTAGATCTTAGTGGGACAGATGGTTCCCCTGCAGCAGGGGATCACAAAGGTGACCCAAGAGGATGCCTCAGTCACTAATAGCTCAATGAATAAATACCTTCAAATTACATGTATCAATTAAATGAAAAATAAATGTTCTTCTCTGACACATATTCATGTCCCATTTAGTGATCTAGGGAGACCCTTTTAATTCAAAGCAGCCTGTTCTTTACTTGGGTTATTTTCTTTTTTAGGTTGTTCAAATTTAAATTTAGATAAATAAACACGTTTAAATTGTTTAAATTCCAAAGAATTTATGCAGGTAGTTTGCCCTCAAAAAGGGACGTGTAGACTGCACATTGTTTACAGAAAGAGGAGGGAGCTGTGTACCGACAGTGGAACAACTTGCCCACCACCACCTCAGCCAGGTGACCATGGTCAACATCAACCCTGATAAATCATGCTGATAGAACATGCCTTCAATATGATTTGATGAAAAGAGCATTTCACCTCTGTGGCCTTCCCCCATAACCCCAGGCTAATCATGAGAAAAACATCAAATAGATTCCAGTCGAGACTTCTCAAAACTTTCAAGTTCCCCAAAAGAAAAAAAAAAAAGCCTAAGAAACTAAAGAAACATGACAACTAAAATGTGATATGGTTACGGGAAAAGGACAGTAAGTAAAAACTAAGGGAATCTGAATAAAATTTGGACTTCAATTAACCATTATATATCAATAAACTTCATAAATTGTGAAAGATATTACTAAGAGAGAAAACTGAATGTGGGATATATGGGGATTCCATATACTATCCTAGTAATTTTTCTTTAAGTCAAAGCTACTCTAAAATAAAATTTTTTCTCTTTTTAAAAGTTTATTTATTAGCCAGGTACAATGGTGTACACCTGTAATCCAGTGACTCAAGAAGCTGAGGCAGGAGGATTGCAAGTTCAAAGTCAGCCTCAGTAATTTAGTGAAGTCCTAAGCAACTCAGCAAGAACCTATCTCTAAATAAAATATAAAAAAGGGCTGGGGATGTGCTCAACAGTTAAGCACCCCTGGGTTCAATCTCTGGTACCAAAAAAAAAACTGCTTTATTGACATGGAAGGACATTTGGAATATATTGCAAAGTAATAAAACAAGATAAAAACATTAAATTTTCAATAAAAAATTTTATTAAGATAGATGAGAGAGAGAGAGAGAGAGAGAGAGAGAGAGACCGAAGTACTGACATTGAAAAGCCCTAAATGGAATGGATTGGGGGAATTAAATAGGTTCTTTTTTTGTTTTTGCAGTTGTTACTATATTTTTGCTATATTTTAAATTCACTGATCATACAATAGGTGAAAAACTATATAAAACATTAAAATAAAATGATGGAATTAATTCATATTTATATCTTAATGTCTAATTTATTTTCAATCAATTATGCCTATTTTTGTATCTTTGGAAATATTTTATCACTGGTTTGACTTTTTTAATTAGGTCAATAGTGAATGCTTCCAGTCATCGCTATGCATTTTTTAAATGTATTCCTGGTAGAAAGGCTACAAACAGGTCTAAGGGTATAGCTCAGTAAGGGTGCTAGTCTAGCATGCGTGAGGCCCTGGCTTCAATCCCCAGTGGAGTCAGAATAAAATATGGACTACAAGCAGAACATGGAATGACTACTTCTTAAGTGTTTCCAGCTTTGGAATGGTGGAGAAGGGGCTCTGGCTATCACATCTGTCACCAGACTGGGTTGACTTGGCTGATTTGTCTGGCTAGTATGTGTCCCCTTCTTCCCTCACTCCCTCCCAAAGCTAAGCCTTCAGAGGAAGAGGACAACTTTCCCTGATAGAGAAGGACTATTCTTGGGGCAAGGGTGTAGGAATGGCTGTACTCACCTGCTAGAACCTCCTAATGAGTGTCAAGGTTATTTCCAGCTTTATAATGTTCAACACGTCTGTAATTTCCAATTAAAAGGAGTTGTAAACAAAAATAGATGTGGTGGACTCTGGAAAATGAACCAAAAAGAAAGTGTTTTGGTTGAGGTGGGGGGAGTTTTGCTGGGATTTTTATTATTTTCCACCGCAAAAGTCTGCACAGTTCTGGAGCAGTTGGATTGTGGCATTCTTGTAAATGGGATCACACTGCCTCTGTGTGGTCAATCTCTGAAAAGCCACCTTAAACACTGACTACCTGAACTGATAGATGAGGAAATGATAAAAATAAGGGCCTTGAAAATCTACCCATCCTCTCAGTCTTCACAAAAAGAAATTAAGGTCAAGAAAAACTCCTATGAGGCCTTTGATAAAATACAGCAGCCATTTGTGTTAAAAAATAAAAAACACTGGAGAAATTAAGGATAGAAAAAATTTACCTCAACATTATTAAGTTCATATACATATATGACAAACCCAAAGCCAATATCATACTGAATGGAGAAAAACTGAAAGAAAAAATTCTGCTATGTGCATAGAAAAATATACCACAGTGAATGCACCTTTATGTATAGCTATAAAGCAACAATTAAAAACAGATAAATAAACACAAGGAAGGCCAGTAGAATAGAGCAAGAGGAATGGGGCAGAGAAGGAGGGAAAGAAAAGAAGGGACTCCAGGGACAGAAATAGATCAAGTTAAATTTCATGCCAAAAGTACATATGGGAGGAGCTGGGGCTGAGGCTCAGTGGTAGAGTGCTCGCCTAGCATGTGTAGGGCACTGGGTTAGCATGTGTAGGGCACTGGGTTAGATCCTCAGGACCACATAAAAATAAATAAATAAAATTAAGATAGTGTGTCCATCTACAACTAAAAACAATATGTTTAAAAAAATACATATTGGAGAAAATATAGCTTTTGACAAATGGTGCAAGGGAAACTGGATACCCATATGTAGAAGAATGAAACCAGATCCCTATCTCTTGCCCTTCAAAAAAGTCAATACAAATGATTCAAACACTTAGGAATTAGACCAGAAACTTTTCAACTGCTAGAATAAAACATAGAGTCAACACTCCATCATATTGGTGCGGCCACAGACTTCCTTAACAGGATCTCTAAAGCTCAAGAAATAAAACCAAGAATCAATAAGTGGGATGGCATCAAATTTAAAAGCTTCTGCATAGCAAAGGAAATGATTGAGAGTGTGAAGAGACAGCCTACATACTGGGAGAAAATCTTTGCCAGCTACTCCTCCAACAGAGGATTAATATTCAGAATATATAAAGAACTCAAAAAAAAAAACACCAAAAAAAAACCAATCAATAAATGGGCAAAAGAACTAAAACTGATATTTCTCAAAAGAAGAAACACAAATGACCAACAAATATATTTTTTGAATGTTTATTATATCTAGCAACCAGGAAAATGGAGATCAAAACTATACTTGAGATTTTGTCTTGGGGCTGGGGATGTGGCTCAAGCGGTAGCACGCTCGCCTGGCATGCATGCAGCCTGGGGTTCGATCCTCAGCACCACATACAAAACAAAGATGTTGTATCCACTGAAAAACTGAAAAATAAATATTAAAAATTCTCTCTCTCTGTCTTAAAAAAAAAGATTTTGTCTCGCTCCAATCAGAATAGTAATTACCAAGAATACAAATTATAATAAATGCTGGCAACTCATACATTGTTGGTGGGGTTATAAATTAGTACAACCACTATGGAGATCAGTATGGAAGTTCCTGAATAGACTAGGAAAGGCTCCACCACATGACCCACCTATCCCATTATCCTAAAGAACTAAAATCTTCATAGTATAGTGATACAACCATATCAATGTTTATAGCAGTACAATTCACAATAACCAAGTTATGGAACCAGCACAAGTCAACAGACAATGGATTAAGAAAATGTGGTATATATACACAATGGAATTTTACTTAGCCATAAAAAGAATGAAATTATTACATTTGCCAGTAAATGGAACTGGACAACATCATGCTAAGTGAAATAAAACAGACTCAGAAAGTTAAGGATTGAATGTTTTCTCTCACATATAGAAGCTAGAGCAAAGTAAGGGGAGATTGAGGGAGAAGGAAGAGGGATGGGAAAGGGGAGGAAAGGTGGAATTAATTTGAAAAATTGTTCTATGTGAATGTATAAATGTACTACAGTGAATGCCACCTTTATGTATA